CAGAAATCCTATAAGCTAAGAGAGAATAGAATCAAAACTTCTAATTATTGAAAGAGAGAAATCACCAGTGAATAATAATATATCCAGCAAGGTTACCCTTGAGATATGAAGGATAAAATAAAGGTGTTTCCACACATACAAAAGCTGAGGGAATTTACCACCACAAGACTTGCATTACAAGAAAGACTGATGGTGCTCTTCTACCTGAAACAAAAAGACAAAAGGATACAAAGCTATGAGTAAGATGACTAACAGACAGACAGAGGCAGGAAATTGCAACCCTTGTTTAGAATAGGGTATCAAATACTTAAATATAACTAAAGGAAGTAAATACACTTTTTAAAAAATAGCTACTGCTATTTAGAAATGAACTCACAGAATAAAAAGGGATAATTTGTGATGACAAAAACATAACAGGGGAAGGGGTAAGGACTGAACTCGCACAGGAGAATGGAGATAAGACGCAATCAGGAGATAAAGGAGTATTGTGTACATAAAAAAAAATCCACAACTAACACACACATTTGAATGAAAGAAAATAGGGAAAAAATCATAAAATACCACCAAACTAAAATAACAGACAGAAACACTGGGAAAAGAAACAACGGAGACACAGAACTACCAGAAAACAAAAGATAAAATGGCTATAGGAAACTTTCATAATGATATGCGCCAAGCAATTAGCCCCCCACCACCACTGAACAACTTTTAGTCTCCTCCTCCCTAGTTTCTTAGCCACTGGCTTTGATTACTCTTCTAATCAGTTTCCGAATCCTAAAGATTGCCCCTAGACTGAATCACAGAATATCTCTCACCCACCCCTGCTTTAGACAATTACTTAAAGCTTTTGACTTTCCAACATTCCCTAAGCCATTCCAGACTTAACTTTTTTTTTTTTTAAGATTTTTATTGGGGAGTTGGGGGATGGGAATAGCGCTGGGGAATTGGGGGAAGGGGAACAGACAAGTTGCTGTCGTTTTGTTCTTCAGTCTAGTTGTGGAGGACGTTGCTTCACTGGCCCATGTTGGCACCATCATTGCGCTCTTCCCGGGTGAGGCAGATCAGTCGCCGGCTTCTGGACGGCCGCTCACTGCTCACGCTGGCTGCTGGCTACACACGGTAGCCCATGGCAACCCACTGCCACAGGGGCTGCAGCCTATGCCATCGCCGGTGACTCACAGCAGTCCAGCTCCAGGTTGAGCTGTTGTTCAGCATCTTAGCTGTGGAGGGCAGTGTCACTGGCCCTCATATGTGGGATCCGAACCGGGGCCCTCTGGCTTCCCAAGCCAGTTCTTAACCATGGCGCCACTGGGCCAGTCCCAGACTTAACTCTTAAATAATCCCATCCCAGATACTAAATAGGTTTTAACATTTCCCCAGGCCAGTATACTTGTTGATTGTAAACATTAAAGCTTAATGTTCTTTCCAAACCCATAGCCACCCTACCTCTATAGCTTTGAGTTCTGCTCTTTAAGAAATAATTAAAATCTATTTTTCTTCATTTAGGGGCCTTGGGGATACAGAGGGTACCCCAGCAAGATTGCCAGTCCCAACCAAAGAAGCCAACACGGTCTTCCAGGCGGATCTCAAGACCCCTTCCTCTCAACGGAGATCAGATAGGGTGAGAGTTCCATGAATCCCCCAATAGGCAGGGACAGCTCTACACCCCTGCCCAGCAGGAAGCAGATACAGAAGAAAACACCTCCTGTCCCTCGACTTCCCATAGAGATTTTATGGGGATCACGTCTCTCAAGGGGAAAACAAGGCAGGCAGTTAGAGGCAGGCATTGGGTCTCTGCATTCCTGCATGTCCCACAGAATGCACCACCCAAAAGACTTCCCCTCTCCACCCAAAACTTCTCTTTTCTTTTAATAAACTCCTTTTCTAAAGAGATGAGATCAATCAGGCGGTCCCACACTCAGAGAGGAACAGCCCATTCGAGGAAGACGGGATAAAAACCCCAAGTCCTGGCCAGTCAGCGCCTTTTGAGCATTTTGAGCCTTGCCTTTGCTTGGGGCCCGCTCCAAACTCTTTTGAGTGTACTATCTTTTCTAACAATGGCCCTTCAGCCATTCTCTACTTTTTCTCCCACTGCTGCTTCTTTGAAATGTAGTCTTTTCTCCTAATAAACTCCTTTTCTGCAACTTTACCTCTCTGGTCCATGTCTCCATTCTTCAGTTCCATAAGACCACAATCACAATCACACACATCAAAAAAATCCTGCATCAATATCACACTTCCTGACTTCAAATTATACTACAAAGCTACAATAATCAAAACAGCATGGTATTGTCCAAAAAACAGAGACACAGTCCAATGGAACAGAACTGTGAGCCCAGAAATAGACCTACATGTATATGGGCAAATAATTTTCAACAAGAGCCAAAAACATACAACAGACAAAACAAGGCCTCTTCAATAAATGGTACTGGAAAAATGGGAAAGCAAAAGAATGAAACTAGACTGATTGTTTACACCATACACAAAAATTAACTCAAAATGGATCAAAGAACTAAACATAAGACCTGAAACAATAAAATACATAGAAAAAAACATAGGTACTAAACTTATGGACTTCAATTTCAGAGAGGATTTTATGAATTTGACCCCAAAAGCAAGGGAAGTAAAAGCAAAAAATAAATGAATGGGACTATATCAAACTAAAAAGTTTCTGCACACACACACAAAAAAGATTAAATGAACACTAAAAGTTCATTATGAAATCATATTACAATATCCAAACTCAGTTTAAAGACTGGGGAAATTTTTTTTAAAATAGCATCTCTAACTGAACAGCACAAAAGTCCAACTGGCAAATGATAGTCCTTTTCAGACTATCATCAACAAAGCTTGTGATGTAGTTAGGTATATAAAGTAATTACACACAGAAAAAGAGCTACAGACTACTCTTGTTAATTTATTCAGTATGTATCTGGGAAAAATCATTTAAGGAGTTCTGTGTTTATCAAAATAAATCCTAAGTAGAAATTCAATTTGCTAAAAACCCTCTTTCCTCCATTTCCTCTTTCCCATTTTAAAGGTTTCTTCAACAATATTAGGGAAGAGAAACAAACATCATCTCTGTGAAGTGAACTAGATGTCATTAAACACACTCAGAAAATGGCTAAAGAGCTTGCCATTTATTACTTGGCTGTAGCCGGAGTGACAGAGCTTTGCTCCTTAAAACTAAACACAGGCACTGAAATAACTCACAGACATCAAATTTAATTTCCTGATTATTAATACCAAACAGGAATTAAAATCAGCATCTTTTTCATTGTCCTTAAAATAAATTAGGCACTAATTTACGTCACCGACGCCTAAAAGAATAAGACAAACTTATCAAATGAAAACAATTCTTTAGAACCTAAAATCTACCAAAAGCCAGACTGGGTAGCATATGCTTTTCTGTCTCAGAAAAGCATTTATCCCTTAACTGGCTGCCGCTGTCAAAATTTCTAGAAACGTACTGCCCAGCTCCCTAAGCTGGGTGCTGTGCTGTTGCGCCGAACGGTCTAGTCTTTTCATTTCCCAACTATTCTGAATGACCCAAAACTTCCGGATCCTTCAAGGACCACCTCAAAAGTCACTTCCTTTATGAGACCTTTTCTGATCCAAACCATACATCCCTAATAGCTGGCAACTCCACACACAATTAAGTTCTGCCACGTTCTGTAGCATATTTCTTTCTCTATGTAAGTTCTTTGCCCACAGAAACTATATTTGTTCTTAGATCTCTCTTCCCTGCAGCAGCTGCAGCGAGGGCCCAAATAGAAAAGGTGTGTTCCGCTTGCATTTGGTGATCTCAGTACCAGGAGGCGAGGCGGGGTGGGGGGTG